CCCACCCCATCCCCTCCTCTCGGAGCGACGTTTGGTAGGGGGAAGAAAAATAATACATGTATTATCGTAATAACAAGCTTCGTCTTCAGTACTGTGAATCGCTTGCTGGGTGAAACAGGGGTGGTTTTGTAACTAAAAGCTTGCGTTGCGGTGCGCGTCTTTAGAATAACGGGGGTTATTACTCCACTTTTTGCGGGGACGGAGTTACACACAACACATTACTGACACAGATGCCTGGCACACTGAAGTGTCGTGTTAAAGGCTTGAGACAATCTAACCTGTAATTTTTTAAATGCTAAACATCTTGAACATCTAACTCTCACTGGCAAAATTGAAGGCAAACGAGGCAGGGGTAGGCCCAGAGCAGCCTACTTAGGGAACCTAAACAAATGGGTAACAGGGAAAGATCAGGGAAACGTAGCTTTCTTTAAAAGCATTCGAGTAAAGGAATGAAAGGAGAACCATGATCCCCGATGTCTGCCGCAGATCTGGCACTGGATGATGATGAAACAAATAACGTGTAAAATATTTTTAGCTATAAGAGAGTTAATCGTAGAGTCCCATTTACTCAAAACCGTGCGTAAAGGAGCAAGAGCCCTGTCATGCTAAGGGAAAACTATCAAAGCCGCGCACTTTTTGACGATATCGATACAATTAGATTGCCGATTCCATCCAACGGTTACAGCAGTCCCCTAAACAAAATTACTGAGTAGAGCCCCCATCCAAATATGTGAGGCAGCGTGGTGGAATCAGGGTCTCGTCAATTTTAGGGCAGGCAGAGTTATTGGTATCATCTTAAAGCTTGTTCAATTGTCTTTATTTTGATGAAAAAAATATCCATTTATTTTGAATACAAGTCAAGATATTTGCGGAAGAAGGAGGTGGAGGTCACCTGTTTTCAGAGGTAAAATTAGTGAAAAAATGGCCACCAAATATTAGTTATTTCCTTAGCTTAAGAGTCCATGGTAACTGAAAATTTACATTTTTTGTGCCTTTGTTCAACGTTCTCAGGACAATTTCCTCAGAAATGAGTTCTTTAATGGGCATGAAAGTTGTTGAGCCAAAAAAAAAATCTTTATCAAAATTCATAAACTTGAGGAGCGCGCTCATATGACCTTAGCAGTTGCGAGCGCCGTAAAACCCTATACTACATACATACATACATAAACTTGAGGAAAAATGCAAGTTTCTTCACTTTGATTATTTTAACGAGCGCCTGATTCCACCACGCTGCCTCACACTCGCATATTATATTCGTATTCGTCTTTCTGCTGACGTTAAGCGACTTCTAGACCATTTCTAAGCTCAAATTAAAAATAAATACAAAGGCACTTCCGCAAGAAAGAAGGGAGAATGTGTTACAAGTAATTGTACGCAAATGGACAAGATTTACAACTTCAATTTTTATCCTGAATGAGCAAGAAAATGCTGCCCCAGCCCTTTAAAGATCGCCCCCTGTCTTGTAGATTTGATTTTATACCTTATAAGCTTATTCATTCAAAATAAAATCTAATAGATATCTGGTCCAAAGCTCAGTAAAACGCTGATAGTATTTAAATAATTGGATAGTACTGTTTTGGTAATCGTCAATCTAATTGTATCGATATCGTCAAAAAGTGCGCGGCTTTGATTTTCTACCTTGCTAAGGGCACTATTGGTAATATTCTTCTGATAACACCACTGTGATTGCGTCAGTCGACTTGTGCATGTAACAAAGTGAAGCCAGCTAGGGCTCGTAAATATCAGGCGCAACTGATCGCTTTTAAGGACAAGCGGGCTAACCCAGATTTCGGGGGTTTCCAGAAATCTGGACCTACACCAAAAGTGAGGATTACCCTACCTATAGGAGAAGTTTGGTTTCACTGGCGTGTATAATATATTTGTTTAGTTATAGAGAAACCCTCCCTGTCTTTTAAATTAAGAAACTGAACAAGGTCCAAAAATTCTACCTTCGATTTTCTCAAAACAGCATTTTTGGGGATTGCCCCCCTTGTGCTTAAAAGCGAACAATTATTGCCCTGGACGCCACTTCTTAGCTCGAGAATAAGAAAGGTTGGCAAGTTCGAAGCTCATACTCTCGTGGGTACGGACGGAAGAAGCGCAATGACATACTATGTTATTCTGGACCCGTCTCCTTTTTACGTAAACCAACGGTTGCCAATTACTTTTATCGTTGAAATCTTCTTCTTTTTTAAAGAAATTATTTTTTTTGAAAAATAGAAGTTGATGCTTTGTAGTTCCGAAATAAAGGTTATCTTAAGTCCTGAAGATGTTCGGAGCCAACCTGGTACCCACCGGAAAAAAGCACACCGTTAGAAAGTAATTAATTGGTTTCGGAGTCGACTCCTACCATTCGTAGCTTTTAATAATCGGGAACCTGGCCGCCCAGCTATACAAGACACCACTCACTGCCCAGGACAGCATATTGTAGAGCAGGGAATTTTAGCGGGGGAAGGGGGGGGGGATATTTTTAACACCATTCTGTCCCAAAATCTGTTAAGTCCGTGGTATGAAATATCCCTACCAAAAGACATTGGGAAGCGACTCGACTCTTTAGACGCCTGAGAGTACACAGATCTGGCACGTCTAAAGCCAATACAACACTCTTGGGGACTCGGGGGAAGATGAAGTTACCAATCACCCAGAATATAACTATTGAGGTGTGAACGCCCAAGGCAGGATCGTTACGACACCAGGGCTTTATTTTATAGTGAAGGTCCGAAAACAGCAGGCAGAGGAGAGGCTGCCCTCTAGGCAGTGGCATCCAGAAAACAGCAGACAGAGAAGAGGCTGCCCTCTAGGCAGTGGCGTCCAGAAAACAACACAGTTAATTGTAATTACGCTTCTTTCGTGCGTACCCACGAGAGTATGGTCACTGAATATGTCAACCTTTCGTATTCTCGCGCTGGGCAGTAGTGGCGCTGGGCAATAATAATTGTGCCTGACATTTACGAGCCCTAGCTGGCTTCCCTTTATTTCAAGCCTCCACCCCCTACCAGATGAAAATCTCTTTTAAAGTTACCAAACTTTGACGATGGCCAGTCTCTTGTTAATTTTACCTCTGGCACCTGGCGACTCAGAACTCCTTCCATCGCATTATGTCTCGACTTTTCTTCAAGATATATGGGTAGATCTTTAAAAGCAAGCTAAATAAACTTGATTTGAAATTATTTTATCAACATCTCTGCACGGAACAAATTGACAAGCACCTAATTCGGCCTTGCCGCAAGACATACGATTATAGTAACAATTAAATGGTTCGACCCGTAAAAGACGGTAAGCTTTGATTGTTCCATACCTTTTAACCGAAGATCTATCCTTACGTCATGTTTTATAACGATCGTATCCATACGACGTGGCGAACTCTGTGCCCCCACTTTCCAAAAAGGAAATTTACTCGTTAATCCAGTTTTACATAGCAGTCTGTCAAAAAGATTTTTTGAGAAATAATGGAAGTTTCAAAGAGATCTTCGCTCTAGAAGTATTCTAAAATGTGAAGAATACAACCCCAGGGATACACAATGACCCCAGGGCGTACGGGTGGGGTTATAGTGAGCTTCAAAGAAAAACCCTAGCGCTTTGACATCAAGGAGAAAAGATGTGAAGGCAATGACATTAGATTAACCCTATCCGTACGCCCTGGGGTCATTTTGTACCCCCGGGGTTGTATTCTTCACATTTTAGAATACTTCTAGTACGAAGATCTCTTTGAAACGTTCAGTACTTTTCAAAAGGCTTTGCAAAGCATAAGGATCGGATTAACTAGTAAATTTCCTCTGGAAAGTGGTGGCACAGAGTTCCCGTGGTCGTATGGATACGATAGTAAAACACGACATACGGATAGGGTTAAACCGTGTTCAGATCGAGTGCAGTATTGTGTTCGTCACTAGATATATCATAGCGGATCCAAGCTTGTCCGCTGTTACTTTTACGTCATAGGCCAGTCTCAAAAAGAAAAATCCTGACCCAGGTTTGTCCACGATGAACAAAATGTCTTTGGCTTTTTATTTTTATTTTTTTTATTACTAATGTTATTTTTTTGCTGTTTTTCTTTTTTTTTTTCATGGATATGATGTTGTTATTGAAGATATAGAGTAAAACAGGTGTCACTTATTTCCTTTCACTCCTCCCCCTCAAAAATACATCGCATTATGTCCATAAAGGGGCGTAAAAGATTTTTTTAAAAAGAAAGATATCACAAGTGATCAAAATTGAACTACAAGCGGAAATGTGAGCATGCAAGATTTTAAAAGATAGATAGGACAATCTGAGAGATAGGGAGTCACATAGATAAGGTGATACATATAAGTTGATGAAAATAAATCAAAACTCGTTCCAACTGATGAAAAAAAAGTGACATTCTTTAACTTTTAGTAAAATAAAAGTTTTAAAATTTCAAAAGTTTAAATGAATAAGGGTATTGCTCGTTTGAAAAGATACTGCTTACAAACAGTAAAACACTGTAAACCTAAACACAAACCCATTTTAGACAATACATTGTAATAAAGAGGCAAAGATATTCATTGAATAAACAAGATATATCACAAAATCAAAACAAACATCAGGCAATAAATAATAAGAAAACAGAAAAAAATATAATAAAGCATCGTATTTGATGTCAAAAATAGAATTGTTAAATAGGGAATAAGTGAATATATAGACAACAGAAACAAAAGTAAATACATAGTCAAACAGAAACAAAACTAAATAAATGGGTTGGTTTTTTTTAAACCTACAAAAGTAAAGAAATAACCAAACAGAAACAAAAGTAAATACGTATTTTTAAAAACCCCCAACAAAAGTAAATAAATATTCAAAGAGAAATAAAAGTAAAGAAATAGTCAAACATACCCAAAAGTACAAACAAAAGCAGACAAAGGCTTCAGTTACCTGTGTGTCCCTTCCTCTGGTCCTGAGCTATAGCACTCGCTCTGGAGACTGCACAAACCATTTGGGGACACGGGGGATAAAATAACACCCCAAGGGGGCTCTGTCCCC